GACATTCTGACAACCCTAGCAGAAATTATCATCAGAGTTAAACAAAGAGTTGTTGCCAGTCAAGTTATACCGGTAATAGTGGTCCATGTAAACTGACTGGCCAGGGTTGCTGTGATTTTATGGGCTGCATCTGAACCCAAAAAATATAAATTAAATGAAATTAAGATAATTGCAATGTATTACTTTTTTTTGGTATCTTATTTATTGTCAAATGTGTAAATGTTTTCCCTATTAGGATGTTATCAGTAAGACTGTGGACATTTTCCACAAATACTATAAGTGTGACTATCCAAAAAGCCCACAAGTAAAGGATGGATTAAAGCGTCTTCTAAATGAAAGATACAGGGATGATGTCAATAGCTTCATGGACCACTTTGTTCATCCCACACAAAGTCTTCTTAGCAGTTTGGAGGATAAGGCACAGTATAACTTTGCTCTAATTAATCATTTTTTTTTTGTTATTTTACACTGTAGTTGGGATGAACTTTGGAATAATGGTAAATAATGTACATAGTGTAATGATTTGCCGTGGGTGAGGGCTGAGCCTTGCAATTACATTGTACTACCAAAGTTTAAATGCTATGAAACTGTATAGTTCAGTTGTTTCCAGAGTGACACTGGTTGTTCAAGACATATGAATATTATTGAGAAAAGACTGTTTTAGGTGTTCTAAGTTTTAAAAGCAGCTCTCAAAGTTGATCTTTCTAAATCATAGTGCTCTATTGCTCAAGTGCTATCCTTGCCAAGGCAATTACACTACTGTAGCATGTTGCATCATTCTGTGTCCAAATATGAGTGAGGTGATAAGAAAACTCAACAGAGATTTAGTTACAAAAAATCTGTGTAAACTCAGCCATGTAGCCAGATGTTCCCTTACTACACACGTGTTACATGAATACGAGACTGAAAAGCATGACCTCATGACTTCTTATGTCATGCGGCACAACTACATGGAAGAGTTTTGTTTTAATATAAAGTGATGATCACTCAATTTTATATTTTCCACTGTAGAAGTTTCCCCTTTGCTTACCCAATGGCAAAGTAGTTCTTCATCTGGTTCCTCCTATGACCAAATTGGCAGTTGGGGAGTTCTTTTACCAGGTGGGTCTCATTAGAACAAGTGGGTTCAGTAATAATGTATATGGACCTGTATTACAATAGCTGATAATGAAACTACTATCTGAAATGCCCACATGTAAAAAATTCTACTTGGCAGTTCCATGTCAATCAGGCATTTTGAAACTGATCTTGTGACTTTTTTCTTCTTTTCCACTGTCATATGTAGGTGGGCCATACTAATCCACGCACTTTAGTTGTTAAATTTGCAAAATACGAGCAGAGAGGGACTAAAGTGAATGAATTGCAGCGCTCAAAAGTTCCTGAAGATGACCATGACATTGCATTCACCAAAGAGTACTTTGACCAAATAAGGAGTGAGGTTCCTGATGGACTGGGAGATGTTCTGATGCGTACCCTTGTTGTCATGGGTAATCCAAACTGGA